TATATTTATGTATGCATAAGGATGTTTCTATTTCTAGCACAGTTTTGTTTGGATTATATTGATTCAGTGATATGAGTACATGTTCTGTGTTCATCTTTTTGAAATAAACAAACAGAAAATATACACAACAGGTACACCTGCAGAATGTTATACGAGAGGTACTGTTCTCTGTAGGAACGAATATGTTTATTTGTGCTGTAATCCTGGGGTGGATTATCCATGCTATTCATGTTAAAGATGACAGAAGAGATGAAAGAGATTGGTCTTGTAAGTTAAAAGACAGTGACACACAATTTTATTTATATCCTCCCTTCCCAAATCTTTTCTCCAAACCCAGAATCTCTGAAACTCCAAAGTTCCAACAGGTATTTCAGGCTCTGTTTCTATTGACCAGTCCTGGTGACCTCCTCTCCCTGCAGTCAGTCAGCCTGACCAATCTCAGGGGAATGACGTGCGAAGCCTTGGACCTGTACTTTGAAAAGGTTATTAAACATATGGAAGGAGAACTGCTCTAGAGTAAGAAAACCCAGCCTTTTACCAACTGTGCTTTTTTTGTCAAGGTGCTTCACCACTTTGAAAAGCAGTTTTTTCTTCCTCATGAAATGGAGGTATTTCAGGCCCATCATGCCCACTTTGCCTGGAAGGTAGGGTCTACAGTTGGAATTATGACAAATAGGCCAAAGCCTAAGGTCATCTGACCTGCTTATAGGAATAAGACTAGTCAGGCCTTCTAGGAGCAGGTTTCCTCTGACGTTTCTCAGGGTGATCTGGGACCTCCTCTCAGGAGGTGGTATTTATTAATCTCCCTGTCGTAAGTGTTCTGAAGGTAGAGTCCATGTCATGTTTTTGTGTCCTCACTCAGCACCTGGCACACAGTCTCATTCAGTAAGTGCTGGCTGAATAAGGAAGGAGGTGTTTCTTCCTGAGTCCCATGAAGAATAGCAGCTGATTGAGCATCATTTTGTATTTAGTGTCAGAATACTCAGTGACTACCAGAAGTGATCCGTGGTTTCCAGTCAGAGTAATACTTTCTCATCTGGGATGTGACAATAATGACATATGCCTCAGGGTTTTTGTGAGGATTAAATGAAAAATGTATCTCAAAGCTGGTTCAGATTAGGTGCATGGGAAGGGAGGAGCAGAGGGAGGGGGAGTCAGACCTGGGAGAGTTTCCGCTCCACCACCTTCTTCTACTGGGAACTTGAAGAAGCCACGTAGCTCCTCTGAGGCTCTGTCCCCGTCTGAACAGTGAGGTTAGGAGTGTCTGTCCTACTTCCCTCACAGACTCATTTGCGATGGTAAAGGAGATGATAAAAAAGATAATGGGTCCTCCAAATGTGAGAAATTTAGTATTAATGGAAAGAATCATGGACTGAAGTTTATAAAACCCGCCTTTGACAGTTGCTAGCTCTGCAACTTAAGCTACTGAGACAGTTTCTTCCTATATAAAATGAAAGGGTTCAATTAGTTTATTTTTGATGCTTTTCCTATTACTAGTGATGGATTTGTAGAAATTCACTTAATGTACATACAGGATTAAAATAGTCACATATCTATAATTTTAGGCCTTATGAGTAATAGGAAAACCTTGCACTAAAACTTCTGTCCATCTTCTGAATACTGTCTGAATTTACTCACTTCATTCTGCTTTGCTGTATCTAAAGAATTTGACTGTACTTGGTAACACTCCAAGCTGTTATCTGTGTTCTCACCTCACTGCTAATGAGTTCAGCTCTCTTCTGTTATCCATTTCAGTGAGATGGAAGGGGTGGGATAACTGAAGATCAGCTTGGCTGTTTAACAGTTTTATCTGTTTGTCCCACACATCAGTGGATTAATCCAGCATGTACGTTCATAGAAATGAAACTGCTGGCTTGGGACAAAAATTTCTGGACTCTGCAACCATGACACCTGTCTCCAGGCTCTTCCTTTCATAAATGTGACACCTGTAGTACTTATAAGGGCCTTGAAGTTCTTCCCACCTAGCCCTCTCATTTTCATGTGGGAAACTGGGGCCCAGAGAAGCAGCTTAGTAGAGGTCACAGTGATCTGAGCAAAGAAATCCAAAGTCCCAACAAGTTGCATGCCATATACTTGATTACCCTACGGGGAGTTCACCACTGAGAAAATAAAATCTGGCACTTCCCCCATAGTTGCATGTTCATTGTAAAATCTGCCATTTTGATTCTTGCTACTCTTTGAGTAGAACCAGAGGTGTTCGTTTTATTTCAGGTGTGACATTTTACAGCATTTGGCCCTTTCAACTGGGAAGTGGAGTTGGGGTAATCATATTTGAGTTCTTCAGACCATTCTTTCTTAGTCTTGACTAAGTTTATAGAGGCTTATTCTACGCTAGCCACTGTGTTAAAGCTTTACGTGGGTTATCTCATTTAATCTTCCAATCAGGAAGGTGATTACCTATGAGGAACTGCATTTTACGTGAGGAAAGTGAAGGGAAGAGAGGTTAGGTGATTTTCCAGCGTCTCATAGCTGGTAGCCCTGAGGTTCACACAGTCGAATAACTTTACGCTTTACGCACACTTGGCACATGGTAGAAAGAACAAGGAATCGATCTTGTTAATAGCAATTGCAGATACTCAAAAATCACCTAGACACATAGATTTGCTGGATGCCTAAGTGTGTTCACACTGAGGGACAAGATCTCCATGGGAAATAGTTCCTTATAGCCATAAATGTGTATGTGTGTGTGTTCATGTATATATTTATATTTATATACATAAATAATGTATCATGTCTAACATCTAAGTATTTTTCCATTTTTAGTTTATTAGTTTATACTGGTGGGGGAGATTAGCACTAATATTTATTAGAAGGAGAAAGAGTTATCTTCATAGCACCTTGCACATAGCAACTCTTCAATAAATGTCTGTTGAATTAATCCTTATTTTCTAAAGAAAATGGCACTGGATCGGGAACCAAAAGATCCAGGTCTGGTCCTGGTTTTTACAGTGATTCACTGTGAGAACTAGACCAGGTCAGTCTTTGTCTATGAGCCCTAGTTTTCCATGTCTAGAGTGAGTCCAGAAGTGAAGGACCTGTGATTCTGCAGTAATATGTTCACTGTAGGGCCCATCGTTGGAGTATCCACTTGGGTATTCGAGCATGTCAGGCTGGGTTGCCTGGCATTGTCACGTCCTGAAAGATTCATGCAGACTAGGACTCTGGGTAAGCACAGACCTCATCGTGAGGTTGAAGGGAGTTACCATGAATTTGGAGCAGCACTTACCAGGTACATTGGTGCTCTGGGCAGCTTCTGAAGGCTGGTAAGTTAAGTGTACCACTAGGGCTGGGGTGAGAAACTGAGAGAGACCCAGAACTGCCTGTTTGGGCCTCATAAAAGAATGACAGCTGCACAGAGGGTACTTCCTCTCGAGAGACTGTTAGAGCCAGAAGCCCCTAGGAACCAATGAGGGTGAAAGAAGCAAGAGCCACATGAGCAAGACTGCAGGAGTGACCAGATCTGAAAGCGGGAAAGTAAGATAAGTGATGTGAGTCGGCAGAATCAAATTTAAAACAGTTTCAAGGTCACCTCTCAGGACCTAGAGCAGCAGAGCTGTGGCAGTATAGACCCCAGGCTCTTAAACATACCAGGAGACCTGAAAGCATCCAGGAGGGAGCACTGTGCAAGGAGCTGGGGGCTCTCAGGTTCTGGGCTTTTATACATTGGCAACTAAGGATATTGAATGAACCTGTCCTTGATTCTACCTTGTTTCCCTCTTTATCCTTCCCATATGCCCCTCTAGCTGGGTAGAAACCAAGGAGATGCAGGTTACAAACCAAAGAGGGAGCTGGGGTTTTGAGGTGGTGTGATCTCCACCTCAAAGGTTCATGTTTCTGTTCTCCCCTCAGCCGACTCACTCACTCTTTCTGATAAGAAAACCTTAGACTTATTTGATTACAGTTATATTAGAAGTTTACAGACCCCTCTTGTACAATCTTAAATCCAAAAGCCTCTGAAAACAGTTTTTTAAAATAATTGGGTGGTAAACCTGACTAAAACTGACAGGATGCTATTTATAGTCTTTATATACCTCACTTAGTGGGACTATTCATATGTTTGGTGGCAAAAATATTCCTACGTTTGATTACAGAGTACCTCCACAGAGAGGATAATATACAATTTGTGGAAAATACCTCTTCCTACCTTTCTCAAATTAAAAGAATTCTGAATTCCAAACACATCTGGCCCCAAGGATTTCAGAGAAGAGATTGTCAACCCATAAATTGTTTGCCATAAATGTTGGTGTGTTTATTTATCCCTTAAGGAAATAAATGTTGTTCTTCCCTTACAGAGAAAACCAAGTTGGGGGGAGGGGAGAAGCAAAACAAACAAATGTAAATGGTGGTTCTTATGCTAATAAACTGTAGCTGAAGCTTTTGGGGGTCTAGGTCCTCAATAGGAATAGATCCTTTGGAGGACAGAAATCTAGATCGGTACCTTTCTTGCAATTAAAAAAAAAAATCACAGATTTCACGGTGAAACTGCACCGTCCGCATCTCCCCCTGTGCAGCCGCCTGAGCTGTAAGAGCTGCTCAGCCCCAAGTGTGACTCATGGACCTATAGCGCCATCTTTCTTCCGGATTTGGAATTGAATCTTCACGCAGCCACTGGCTGGCTGGCCTGCTTAAACTGTTCGTTCAATCCACAAGGCTGCAAGGAAACAGTTCCTTGACGCTCGAATCGTAAAGGAAGAGCTGCAAAGAGGGCAAGAAAATGTGTTTCTTTCTCTTTGGTCCCTGAGCAATTAAATTCGTAACCTAATTTGGTATCAGGAAGTGTGGGCTATAAACCCTGTGTTTAATTAGTCTGCACCTAGTGAGTCATTGTACACACTAGACATTTTAATTTACAACCTGCTGCATTGCAGTGCTTTTCTAGGCCTTCTGCTATGTAATAAGGTATTCTTCTAGCTGCTGAGGCTTTAAAAATGTAGATACAGTTTCTTATTTCAGAGTTTTTCTTCCTTTTCAATTTTCAGTTGCAAATCAAACATGCAGTTACAGAAGCAGAGATTCAAAAATTGAAGACCAAGGTAAGCACCAATACATGGTGTTTGAATTATACTTTTTAAACTTTACATGCTATGAATAAATTCCACCCTAGGACTAAAGGATTTGCTCCTGTGCATTTGAAAGAATACAGATGTGAAAGATTCATTTCCACTGTTAGATGTGGAGACACACCTGCTAATGAGGACCATCCCTAAGAGGGTAAGCACCACCATACCCTCTCAGTGAAAAGAGCACAATATTTTAAAAATACATATTTACATATTTGCGTAACATGGCCAATTCCCTCTGAGCTTTCCTTGGAAAGTAAATATTTTTAATGGTGCAAGCATCTGAATTACGTTTGACCACTAATTCCTTAAGCACAAGCTATTGTACTGTATCTCTTTTTATTTATCTCATTTTAAATAGATTTAATCATTTATTTATTTTTAACTTATTCATCAGAAACAACGTATTTTAACATAACACATTAATTATTTTTCATAGAAAAATATTCCAATTTCTAATAATCAAATATTATGAAATTTAATGTAATATATGAATAATTGATTTTAGGTGCTAGATGCTACTGGAAATTTTTAGACAAGTGTAGTTCACATTATTTCAATTTGTGGAAAAAATAGGTCTGGATAAAACGGAGTATGTATTTTTAGTTTATATATGAAATAATACAGGATTCAAAAGGGCATTTTTAATTGGTAATTAATGAAGTACTTGTAAATTCCTACAATTGTGCCTAGTTGTATCAAATATATAATTTTAAAGATTCATTTTTAAAACAATATTCTTTATTATTTTTATGGTCTTTTTAAAATTAAGACATAATCCACGCCCCCCCCCCAACCACTAACAATCTGTTTTCCTGTTCACGTTGAACACTTGTGTTGGTTTTTCCATGTATTTTAAATGGAGATGAATTAGCAAGGCTAATTTTGGTTAAATGGTATTCTCAGCTAATAACTCTGTAGCTCTTTAGTCAAAACATGTCCATACATCATTCATGGTGTCAGCCGAGCTCTGTGAATAATAATTTTTAAATTAGTAGTGGTTGGTAAATAAACAACTTGAGTACAAAACATTGCTTAATAAAAGATGCAGTAAAAACCCAGTCGCATTTTAAATTGCTATTGTTTCTTGGCATAGAATGGAGGAATAGAAGATTTTTTTGATTGTTGGTTACAATCAGGGAAAAAGATTCCCCTGTGATTGTAAGTGCTTTAACAAAGCTTATGTGTTAGACTAGAAACATTTAATTTAGAAAATCCTATAATTTAGTATTTTATATTTTTCTCATTATTATATTGGCATGTAATATCCATAGATTAGCTTACTTTACTATGACTCTTTATATCCATGTTGATAATAGAATTCCTAATTTTGAAATTAGGAATTACTTTTTTACTTTGTAATCTGTTTTGCCAATGTATTTAGTTTAAAATATACATAAAAACATATAGTTCCATTTGCTTAATGTTATATGATTTTGGAATGTCTTAGATTTTGAAAATTGATAGTTTATAATGACTCTGCATCCTTTGAACTTTAAAGGAGGCATGTGAAATAGGTGAAGCACTAGTTTAAAGGTCAGACAGTTGTTGTGAATAAATGACCTTTGACCCCTCACCTAAAGATCAGCCTTGAATTTCTGTAGAAATGAGGGGGTTGGACTAGTATACTATTTATTTCTAAGAATCCTTGGAAACAGAAACCACAAGAAGCTGCCTTTCTGTTCCTTTGGAAGGATTTAAATTAATTCAGCAATAATTTATCTTTTAACATAGTATTTTTTATACTTTTATGCAAATTGGGGTTTATAAGGCTGTAGAAATTCAGAATACTACCCATAAAATAATGGGCTACAGATTTTGTTCTTGTCAATTGAAATAAAGTATGTAATAATATCATCAAAAGGAATAATAAAAGTAAAAATAACTAACATTTATCAGATTATTATGCCTAAGGAGCTGTTTTAAGCACGCTGATGTGTTATATCATGATTCTGTTTGATAGATAATACAGTTGAGTCTTAGAGAACTTCATTTACTTGCCTAAGGTTTAAAGGCCAATAATGGCGAAGTGGATTTAAATCTAAACTGAGTGACTGCAGAGTCGCCCTCTTAACCGTTAGGCCGTACTGTACTGCTGCTCCTTTCTCCTTCCCGGCTTGCCCTCTCCCCCTCCCTTTTTAGTTAGTTTTTTTACATATAATTATATGTTTGAAAAAAAACTCTAAAGGAAGGCATCTTGGAGTTCATTAGATAGAATCAAACTCTAAAACATTTTTTACTGCTCACAGAATTTCAGACCACCTGGTGTGATGGAAAGATCATGGGAGTTGGAATCAAATTCAAGTTTTATCATTTACCAGATGTGTAGCCTTGGACAAAGCATTTTACTTCTCAAGGCTTCCATTTTATAATCTATGAGTGTTGAAATACTTGCTCTTTTTATCTCAAGCTGTTTGATGATTGAGTATATGTAACAGTGGAATTTAATCTAAAACATGCTGTAAAAATATGAGGGATTTTTGCTGCAGAAGTGTCCAGATTATTCTTGCCTTGACATTTGCTTTATCCAGCTGCAAGCAGCAGAAAATGAGAAAGTGAGGTGGGAACTAGAAAAAACCTCACTCCAACAGAATATAGAAGAGAATAAAGAAAGAATGTTGAAGTTGGAGAGCTACTGGATTGAGGCTCAAACATTATGCCACACGGTGAACGAACACCTCAAAGAGACTCAAAGCCAGTATCAGGCCTTGGAAAAGAAATACAACAAGGCAAAGAAATTGATCAAGGATTTTCAACAAAAGTAAGCAGCTTCTAATGACTAAGGAATAGTTGTGTGTGTCTAAAGAAGGTTTATATCCAGTAATTTTGTAATATCTAGTGGGATAGGAAAGATGACCTCAGAGTTATCCCTCTAAGAAGCATAGTTAAAGCATAAATAGAGATTGAGTTTTGGAAATCACTTCTATCATTTTTTCATATGAGATTATATTTTGTTTATTTTATGGTTTTTTGGCAACCACTTTCTGATTTTTTTTTTTTTTTGGTAGTTAATCATTGATAGTAACTGTTAAAACATTTGACTATGTATCCTTTTTGAAACATCTCTGTGATTTAGAAGCAAGAAGCCCAGCTGAAGTCATGCAGAATGACTGTTGGACACAGTACATTGCAAAGCAGCAATTGGAGCCTTGATGAGGTTGCTTCTATCTTTCTTCTTAGAATCAGTAACTGCAGAGTTTTCCCACTACAGATAGTGTAAATATTGACTAGCAAGACCCTCTGCCCTGCCGCTTTCCTTTTCTCAGCTGTTGAGAGAATCACAGGGGCCTCAGTTCCCTGCGGTAGGAGAGACCCTCACCACACTCTGCTTTTGAATTTCAGCAGCTCTATCTGAGCTAGTGCTGCTTTGCTTCCACCTGTTGGCTCTTGGTGTAATTTCAGGGAGACTGACCAGAAAGGTTTTTACTGGATTTTTTCATCAGTTACTTCTGGCTAGCTAGAACAATAAAAAGTAGTGCCAGGACCTCTCCTGGTCTTCCATGCCAAGCCTTAGAAACTAAGCATATATGTAAAATTCACCGTGTCTCTATTATTTCCTATCACGGAAATAACGTTTTTAACATTTAGAAGAGATTGCTATAAAGTTTACTGTTAAAAAGGGGGAAATTGCTCTTTGTGACCATGAATTTAATAATCACTATTTTAACTCTTCTTGGCAAAAATATCATACCTGACTCTATTTCATGTAATAATTTTATAAGAAATTTTGCTCAATTTGCATATTGTATTCCAGGCTCTCAAAATGGAGATTTTTCTCCTTCTCCCCATATTATCCTCAGGTGTGTAAATGACGGCTCCCCCTCAGTGTTACTGACCCTCTCAACCCCTCTCCACTGTCGTTCAAAGGAAGCAATCTTATTATAATTATCTCTTTTAAACTCTTGCCATCTAGTTCCATCAGTTTATTAGGTAAATGACTTTGTAAATGTGGAATTATATCTACCTGACATGTAATTATCTCCACTAAATTACCCAAGGTGAGTCATTAGTTTGGTAGCTCCTATCTCAATCTGTATAGGAGCTCTAGAATCAGGGGCTAGAAATGAAAATCCTAGTAAGCAGAATCAAAGCATTTTTCTTTACTTTGTGATCCATAAAAATGTTTTGTGTGCTTTCATTACCATATACCTTTTCTCTGTGATTGAGTTTTGCTTGTTTAAATAACTGTCCAGTTATTTATTCTATTGTGCAGTTTATTGCTTCAGATAAGAACTTTCACGTTTCCTCATTTGTTGGATGTTTGATGCAATCAGATCTATTATTTTCTTCTTAAGAGAACTTGATTTCATCAAAAGACAGGAAGCAGAAAGAAAGAAAATAGAAGATTTGGAAAAAGCTCATCTTGTGGAAGTTCAAGGCCTACAAGTGCGGGTGAGTTATATGCTTAAAGCCACTAAATGATGGGATAATTTCACCTAGTGCTTGGAGAGGAGGCTGGTTTAGGGTTTTATGAATGGATTTTTTTTCCCCGTAGATTAGAGATTTGGAAGCTGAGGTGTTCAGGCTACTGAAGCAAAATGGGACTCAAGTTAACAATAACAACAACATCTTTGAAAGAAGAACCTCTCTTGGTGAGGTCTCTAAGGGAGACGCCATGGAGAACTTGGAGGTCAAGCAGACATCTTGTCAAGATGGCCTAAGTCAAGGTTTGTTTAACCACAAAAATTGTTTTTAATGACTATGAAATTTGGCCTTACATTCTTCTTTTTCTTTCCTGGAGATTTAAAAGTTGAAAAAGCCTTCCTGCTGTGTAAAGAAGAAAATGCTTATCAAAATACGAACCTGCCATTTAGCTCTGTCCTATCAAAAATGATGCTTTGATATAAAGCAATAACAAAATTTGAACTTAAGATTAGCCAAATATTATTTTAATATTAATAGACTTAATAAACTACTTTAAAATGATAGTTTATCCCGTCTAGGGTCAGCTACACTACTTGTGTATTAATGAGTAAGACTTAAAATTTTTAAATCACTAGAATGAAGATCTTTTTCATAACATCAGAAGGCTGACTGCCTACTTCTATCACTTGGGATTCGTTGAGTCAAGAAGTTCTGTATAGTTTTGTGCCTTTACCTTGGTGTCCCATATATACTTCTCATTCTTTCCTGTCAAAGACCAAATAAGACCAAAACACTGGAAACGTTTTCTATTTTAAATGTTGGTCTTCTTTCATACACCAACCATAAATTAATCACTTATTTTCTTCCACAGAGACACGCTCATACATAGATTGTGTGCATATGAATGTGAATGAATGTTTTAAGAACTATAGTATGTTTATGAATTAGAAAATATTTAAGAATTTATAAAGATAAACACACAGAAGGATATAAAACTTCTGGTTTCATCTTTAAAATATCTACCTAGTAGTCCTTGCCAAAAGAGAACGTGAGAGAATATTGTGCAGCAGCATTGTCATGATAGAACTGACAGTTCACAGGCAGTGATCTGATGCACAGTAAAACTCTGCTCACTAATGAGCTGTTTAATTCTTTGATGATCTTTCTCACATATTAGGATGTCTCCAAGATTTTTCCGATAAACAAGTGTTTATATCATATCATTAACTTTTAGAACCAAACTCTTAGCCATTAAAAATGAAAAGTATTAAAAATCTTCATTTAAAATTAAAACAGTATGTAGAGATTTGAGTCCCCAGTTCATATCCTTTTGCTGGGTTTTCCCTTAATAAGATATAATCTGTAATAACACCTCCCAGGCAGCTTAAAGAGGAGTATTGAGCACCAGCATTACCACTGACTGAAGAGCTGTGTGACTTCAGGAAGGTCATTCAACTTCTCTGGGTTGGTTTTCCTATGTATTAATATAAAAATAATAACACTTCTTTTTTCCCCACCCTACAGGGTGTTTTGACGCTATATGACTTGGTATATGAGGTGGAAAAAAGCAATTTTATTAGAGCTTTTATAGAATTACAGTTTTTATATTTGGAACTCAATATGATTGGTTTCTGAAGAAAAATGTCAGAAATCAAATCACAATGTGCTTTTTTCACCTTTTTTGAAGATTTTAATTCTTAAAAGTAATTGTAGTTTTTAATAAATATGCATTCCTGCTGTGGCATGCACAAAGTGTGATCAGTAACCAGGAGCTTTCCGGAATCCAATTTGTTTTTTCTTTCAGCTCAGAAATCTGTATCTTATCAAACATATAATTAATGGTATTTATTAAATTATATGACTACAGAAGATCAACAGACTATACTATTAACATGCTGATTTGGATCAAAACCTTACATTTCTTCTGAACCCTTTTTTCTCTTCTATATCCTCCATTTTGTCACATAGTTATCAGTTTCCCTAGCAACACTGTCGGTTCACAGTGAGATGCAGAGACTACTGATTATTGCTGAAACCAGCACATGCTTGTGCAGTGGAGGTGGAGCCGTCATCTCAGGCGTTAGTAGCATACATATCAAGCGGTGCTCTTCCCGTTTTGCTGCCGAGGAAAGTCAGTGATAAATCTCCTTGAATTTCAATTGCTTGATCACATAAACTAAAATGGCTTGGTCAGTAGCTAGATGGGAATGCTCTGGAAAGCACTTTTCTAAATTGATCCTTTGCTTCTGTTGCTAGGGAACGCTGAAGTCCTAGAGGTTTAGAAAAGGAAGTAAAGCTACAGACCAAACACAGGCCATTCAGCATTGAAAGCTCCCCCCAACGCACCTTTCTGCAACAGGATGGGTACAGGGGCTGCGATCAGTTTCATGAGTTCCCTCCCCGAGGTGCAGTGTGCTGCCTCCCCACCTCCTGTGAACTGTGCAGTTCTGATGTGCTTTCTAAGCACTGATAGGATGACTGGTTTAGCATATTTGGGGGCCTTGAGGCAGCTCAATGAAGCAAAAGGATTATCAGTTATAGGTCAATGAAAAACTATGTTAGAATGAAAAAGAGAAAGGAAGAGAAGAGTGAAGGAGGCAGAAAGGAAGGAAGAGGAAAGGAAGAGCACTAAGCAGCCGTCTTTTCACATGGACTCATGTGAGTGCTCTTCTAGGACAGAGCTTCCCAGCTGGGGATGGATTAATGATGTGACTCTCAATATTGAATTATTGTAAATTTTTAGAATGATAAAACTGTTTTTCAAACAATGCAAAAATTTATCACAAAGTTATATTTGAATACCATTTGTGTGGATCTCTCTATAAACTAAGCCCAGTCAAGTATCTCATTAAAATTTTCGTAGATTGTATATACAAATTCATTATTTAATATATTCTAGTACTTTTTTCTTATCATAATACATAAGGCAAATACAACAATTTTTTTTTTCACCAAGAGCCGTAACAAATCCTAAATCCCTTCTAGTTTACACCAGTGTGCTGGTCACGTATTATTTTACATGTATTCCAGGATATGAAAAATGATAATTTTGCTCTACTGCCATCTTTCTTGTTTGTCATTTCTTAATGCCTGAGTAATGCTGGTCTATATGAGTTCTCTATCTTGTATCCAAGGGCCCTCAAGTCACTAGAAATGTCTGTGGCTATCCAACGAGTTAAATCAGGATTAGAATAAGAGCAGAGAACAGGCATGTTATAGAAATCTTGGTAGGAAAAAGGGTTGTAGTCTTAGTTTGATTAGATTCCCTAGAAAAGTCACTTAAACAACGTGGTCTTCCTAAGCTTCTAGATATTCCAGGGTCCTTATGATAATACTGTTTTCAGCTTCAAATATTTTAAAGGCTATTTCATTAAAGAAAGATTATGCATATTCCACAGAGATACTGAAAGAAAGACTAGGACTGACAGGCAGAAGTTACTTATGAAGGCAGATTATGATTTTACTACCTTGAGAGATCAGAAATAAGTATGATACTTTTAAAAAAGTTATTTTGAATACTGAAAGCCTAGTGGCACACTGACTTGCAAGGGGGAGGGTGGCTACTGGGTAGGAAGAACAATGTTTGGTTCTGCCAAGTATACAATAAGGTGTATGATTTATAGGGTAGCTGGGATCAAGAGTGAGGAAGATAAAGAGTTTGATATGAGGCAAATAAATAGATGATATAAACATTTTAAGAAATGGGAAGGAGTTTGAAGAAGAGAAGAAAATAAAGTTAGAATAATTTTTACCTGATTTATAGACCTTATGTTAAAGGTGGGGCCTTATGTTAAAGGTGTGCCGTAGAGTATTCTTGGAGTAAATGTAGGCTTTGAATGCCTAAAAAAGAGTTTTATACTTAATTCTGTAAGCCTTGTGACCCATTAGCAGTTTTGAGGCATAACGAGCTGTGTCACTTGTAGGTTTGTAAATGTAGTCCAAGGATCCCTGTGAAGTTTGGGTATTACTACCAAATGCTGCTTCTTTCTCATACCCATCTGCTCAGCCAGTGGGCCACCAGTTAGATCGCACTGCATGTTATTTTCCCCAAAGAATGAACGTGGAAGATTATATAAAGTGTTATATCCTTAGGTGCTTTAATTACTTACTATTCCTTAGCTGTAAAGAGAACTGAGCAAGAAGAAAAAGACAAATTAGAAGATGGTGGATTGTAGGCAAGTCTAGACTTTCAGAGTAGATTGTGGCTGGAATTAATTACTCATTCCTGGATGTCGTTAAAAATAAGAATATTTCTTAGCTACTTTCCAGGTAATTGAAGAATATCCTGGAGAAAGGAGCATAAGGATATGAAAATAATACCTTCTTGCTTCTTCTCTTTTCCCTTGCACTTTTTCTACAAAATGATTTGGCTGTTGCAGTGAGCCCCCAGATTTCCCAAAAGATGATCCCTAAGATGGTAGTCTGCACCTGGATCCTGAACCTGGTGTGCTTGGTCCCAAACCCAGGACTTACTAGCATGTCAGTAGAACTCTGAGCCTGCTTAGATATTTAAGTCAGCCAGTTCTCTGGTCATCAGGCCCCGTCCACATGGTGTTTGCTTGTTGTGACCCAGTTGTTAGCTTATTGGTTTGCATGGAATCTGATTTCTCTGAATTGAATCACTTCTTTGAAATTTGCTCAGATTTAAATAAAGTCTTTATCAGGAAGGGCAAGGGGAAGTAACCAACTGCCATTAAGAGTATCTGCCTTTTTTACCACTACGTGTTTTTAAGTTGTTATACTTCATTCATTCATGCATTGTCTGGAAGTAACTTGGAGAGGAACATGTATATGACAAGATAGGGTAAATTGAAAGTGGCAAGATAAGGGAGAACAATGAGGATGAGGATGTGTGGAACCAGAAATGATGCTGCAAGTATTTATATCATACTTAAACTATTTCTGAGGCTAGGCCTTTAATTTGGCTCTAAACTTTCTATTTGCCAGAGGAAAATAGAAACCCTTGTTCATTACATTATTCACAGTGTTCATAAGATAAAAAACAAACCATCTGCTCAAGAGAAGTACACCTATTGGTACTACTAATGCATGATTTGGGGCAGTGATAATAATATTGATAACATCCGTACAGTAGATCCATTGATGATTGTAGTAGGACATTTGCACACAGTGACCCTCGGTGTAGACTAATGGCATCACACAAATATACAATGCTAGTGTTTAGTAACAGCAATTTAAATTACTGGAGGGAGAAGATCGTTAAAATATGGTGGTACTTAGCTCTCTGGTGACCGCTTGTATGTCAGATCAAATTTATTAACCATGTTTAAAACTTCTAGAA